ACCCCGCCCCCCCCCCCCCCCCGCGGCAGATTATCATCGGCCTTGGGTAAGGGCATCATCAATGAATGGCCATTACTTCTCCCGCAGGGAATTGACATGGACCATGTATGGCTCGTCCCGCTATTATGCATACGTACCCCATGCTGGCCGTCTGCACAAAGGGTGAGGCAGCAAAGACAAGAAATAGATGGGTGGAGCTGTTTCTCATTGCACGTTTCGCTTTCTTATACTCCGTCGCCTGTCAACGGCCAGCTCTCCATGCATAAAGAGCCTCCGTATATACAAGAACAACTATTCATAACCATCTGCAGCACAACTGCCCCGTCTCGAATTGTTCAACTCTGCCCAATGGGAATAATACTTTCTGTCTTGGATTACTTACGCCTCGGAAATTCATTCTCTTGTTCACGTCTTGGGACAGACAACTGATCAGCGCCGTGGAATGGATGCTCAGTCTGGACCAACTCTCTAGTCACGACAGTCAGTTGTGATTGCGGACAATTGGACTCCAATTTTGCCGCCCAGGCAGTCGCTCAAGTCGTGATAAGACGATAGTCGTTGCCGTCCTCTGCCAACCTCCAACCTGAGGCAGCCTCGCATCAAAGCAGCGTGGTGGCTTGCTGTCCGTCGGGTGCATCGTCGCCCCGCCTGGGTTTAGCGGCGGCTGTCTTCCACCATGGTCTAGCCCTCTTTTGGCTTGGTGCACCCGCCCTTGTCCGCTTACCTAGTGAACGGCACTCTTATAGCGTCCCGCTCTCCATAAATATTTGGCCTATTTTCTTTTCCTCCCGGACGTCAGGTACACCACGAACTTCTTTGTGCTGTTATTAGCATAAACTAACCCCCTCCCCGCTTTGCGTGCCAATGGCTCGTAGCAAGAGGATGGCTGGACCGGTGTCAAGGCAGCATGAGGTAATCGTCGTGGATGCTGTCGCTGCTCCTAGGCAGTCAACCCGCCGTGCTAATCACTGAGGCAGATTCTTGCCCCGAACGGGATTCTTGCAGCAACATACTCCGTACATAAGTCGCTTATCACAACGCTAGGCAGTTCGACCCCGGAAAGCTTGGTTCGCTCTACACCTTGGGCAGCACTTTATGGCATGATGATGCGTCAGTTTGCTGTCCCCAGGATGCATGGCCCCTTGATTTGCCACCATGCTGGGAATGAACCAGCAGGTTGCCGTCATCAGCAATGATCCTCATTAGTATCAGTAACCATTGAGCGAAAACTTGCCCGCCGCAAAGACGTACATACTACACACAACCCGGCCTGGCCGCCGTCTGCAGCTAGGCGACTTGGGCGAGCGATTCAAGCCACGCAATACTATAAACGCTTTTTCACGTTCCAGTTCACGCGCAGGGAACACAAAACAAAACAAAATACTAACCCCTGAATTCGTGCTTGTTGCCGCCGTCTAAGAATATCCTGCTTTGAATCAACAGCTTGCATTCGTGTTCAATATCTGTCCCTTGCGGTCTCCCCATGCGACCAGGAAGACATGCTGCATGCCATGGATCAGGAACCGCTGGCTGTGTGGCTGTTTGTGGAGCTGGCGATGAGTTCCGAGAGAGGACAAGTTCATCATCCACTACTTGTCTGCAGTGTGATACCACCGGCCTATTGCACCTGCAGCGGACGTTGTTCCTCTGCACGTCGTTTTTGGTCGTTGAAGGATGGCTGCCGCCCTGCAATCCAACCTCCCCGACCCTTGATAGAGCCATTTGTCTCAACACCTTTGAAAGTCGGGCTGGTGCTTGCTTGCCCCGCAGACGACGACAACTCTGTTCACCAGATGCTTTATCCTCATTGTCGGCACACACATGCCCTTTGCAGACAATCCAGTGACGTGCCCTTACATCATTGCATCTGTCCGCTGCTCTCGCCATGGGTTGCTTCGAAACATCCATTGGCCATGCCACAGTTTATTCCGATCTGTCGCTCGTTTATGAGACTAGTAACTCCGTAACTTCAGACTGGCATGCCTGTGCTATTTGCGGTCGTTCGAGGCGTTTAACCCACCGCCCCCGTGAGACATTTCTATCTGGAATCGCCGCATATTCTGGAATTCTGAGCGCACAGATGGATGACATAGATGAGACCAGCAAGTAATCGAGCGCAAAGCAAAAGAAGGAAGGAAGGAAGGAAGGAAGGAAGGAAGAAAAATCTTTTTGCAACCCTCCTGGCACTCGCTCCGACGGCATCGCGTCTCTCAATATCCCCTTTTGTGATGCGCCGCGAACGTTTTGCCTCTCCCGCCAAAGCAAACCATCGTCTTGTCCCGTCACCCGAGTTGAACCGTTAGACATCTTACTTGTTTTGACCAGACCCCGTTCCCATTCCTGCATATTACGTCGAGAACCAACGACGCCAGCCTTTCGCCAAAAGTCTGTCTGCGCCGCAGCCCGCAGCCTCTCTCTATTGCCCCATGTAGTCCAGGCCATCGTGTGGCGGCGATCATTATCACTAGGCCACTTCGGTCCACACCTGTCAGTTGGATGACATACACTTCAAGCAAATCACGAGCGCCATGTCCCTACGCCATGGCTCCTGTCGTGTTGGCTAGCCGCCACCTGACTAATTTTGCTCAGGTCAACTGGTCCTATTCGCTTCTAGGCGTTGATTACTCCCGCCATCCGTTCTCTCGCTGAGGATGGTGAA